GNTATTTGCAAATTTATTTAATAAAAATTTTTTAAAAAACAATAAAATGTCTAATTTCTCTGAAATTAATAAATTAAAAAGAAATATAAAAAAGTTGAACAATGTTGAAAGAAGTGTTGAATTTTTGATATATATATATAATATATATATATATATATATATATATATGTATATATACACTTACACGAATATTTGTATGGCGCTAATTAAATGGTTTTTCAAAAGTGCTTACAAATAAAATAATATACAAAATAGTCAAAGACAGACGTTTGTCAAACAAATAAATAAAACATTAAATATTAAATAAATAAATAAATATATATATATATAATATATATATGTATATATACATATATATACACTTACACGAATATTTGTATTCATTCATTCATTCAATGATCCTCTGTAATCCCTTAAGGGACCGTTGAGGCCGATGGTATTCTTCTATCTCTCCAAAATCCTTTTCTTTCCCTCGCCATCTTCATTGAGCTCAATGTTCCAACCCCCGTCCATTCCGTGATATCATCCATCCACTTCCTCACAGGTCTTCCAACTTTTTTCTTCCAGTCCCTCTTTCTCATCAGTACTTTTTTGATCAGTCTGTCGTCTGTCATTCTGCAGATGTGCCCAAAGATACCCAGCTTTCTTTCCTTGACACTTTCATACACAGTTTTTTGTCTTCCAAGTTGTTTTCTTATGGCATCGTTTCTTATCTTTTGTCTCCAACTGATTCCCAGCAACTTTCTATAACAAGCATATATATATGTATTAAGGTGAGTCGAAATGTAAAAAATATCAAGTTGGAGATCCTGTACATGTCTAAAAAGTTGCTTTTTGATGTACTCGTTTGAAAAAACCTCACTTTTTATTTTATGGACAGTGTCTACAGGTCCCAACTCTGACTAGAAAGACTACATAAATACTCAATGTTAGTGTAATGTATTGCAATGTATTACAAATTAAAAAGGATGTAAACTGTAACGTATCAATGTTAAACAGCAACAATACAAAGTTGTTTAACCTAACTGTTAAAAAATCTTTCTTGCTGTCTATTTTTGGTATCTCTAATCTGGATTTCTTACTCTGTAACACCATGCCATGACGGGACTTTCTCCCATAAACTCTACAGCTGGCAGCGCTAAGATCTTTAATTGTTCTCTCTACTGCCTGTGAATGACATGGAACATCGGGCTGTAGTATTGAATGTGTGTAAGTAAGTTGATCATTTGAAAGGTGTGATAGCATCGGAGGAGACGTAACATTACTCTGGTCCCAGTCAATCATGTTAATGAACGATGTCGCAGCCAGATTTAATGTTATATCCTTCTTATCAAAGACGCGAACCGGTATGTTACTATTAGTCTGCTTCTCTCTTGCTCTTATTATTTGTTCTACTGAAAAACGACGAATTTCCATATCACTATCACTAACTGCAGCTAAGAGAATGTTTTCAGCATGCGCAAAGTAGCAGTTATTTTTGAGAAAAGGACGAACCACAGCCTGATCTAATGCATCAAGTTCCTGAAACAACTGAACTAAGTAAAAGAAGTTGTAAGCACCATTTTGGCAAGAAGAATTTGATTTAATTTTGAACCAAGAGGGTCCGTAAAGTTCAAAATGAAATGCGTTACTCTTCTGAGAGGTTCAGATGCCACTTCTCTAGACATGTAGAGACGCAAAATCCTGTTGGCTTTCGTTATATTTCCAGGTAAACTCTTCTCGAGGAAATCAATATCTGTAGAAGCCTGACGTCCACGCTGTACTGCTAGACATGCTTTCAAAAAGTACAGTTGGTCTGTGCTAAGATCCTTCTTGATAGCTTCATCACAATCAGTAACCTTACCAGTAATTGGCAAATAATTAACGACAGGCAATTCATTCGGATCATATTCTAGAGCTGAGCTAATTGTACCTGTCGATGTGGAAGGTCCTGTAGTTCGAGCAAAATCCACGCCTGCCAAAAACCTTCTAAATGGCAGCTCGTTACAGTGTAGAAGGCATACCAACCACTGTAATGGTCTACCTAAGTTCTACTCCATTTCTTTTTTAGCACTTGTAGTTAGGTGCTAAGCCATTTGCCAATGCATTTTAGTCAATGCTTTATAGTTGGTACGTATTTAGATTGTACCAAGGAAATGGTTAAAATACACCAAATAAGGTAAGACTTTAATCAAAAGTTAGGACCCCTTAAATATTATTTTCATACTGTACTGATACCAAGACAACTTTTTGTTCATGTACAGGAAAGATAAAAAAATTCGACCCACCCTAATATGTATATATACATATATATACACTTACACGAATATTTGTATGGCGCTAATTAAATGGTTTTTCAAAAGCGCTTACAAATAAAATAATATACAAAATAGTCGAAAACAGACGTTCGTCAAACAAATAAATCAAACATTAAACATTAAATAAATAAATATAAATATATATATATATTATATATATACAGAAGAAAGTTGATCATGACAAATTTATTAGACTTTCTTTCAAACAATGCTTAAAATTGTGGAAATGCGTTAATAGTAGCAAATTAGTCGATAAATTATTTCAATTAGAGCATCGTAATGTATTCAAGTTTATTAAGAACTATTTATGGTTTTACATTTTAAATATAAAAAATGACAACAAGGAAAAAACATTAAAACGTACTCTCCTCAATTAATGTTTAAAACTTTTCGTTACGACAACCAACATTCATTTTCACTTTTTTCTCAAATTTACTTTTTTTTATAATTTTCAAATACGTATGAAAGAAGAGATCCCACAACATATCCATAATCTCGACAATTGTCAAAAATGTTGCGCCCAAGAAGAGACCCAATGCTCCACCCAGATCACTAAGCAGGGCTGTTGCCGAGTATTCCTCCAGCGTCGAAATTTCTGTGTACTGCATGTCCCTGAAATATACTCTCGCGTGAATATCATTCTTAGTTAAAAATTTTACATAATTGGATTTCATTTCGTTTTTGTTTGAGGATAAAAAACTTTCGGAAATTTTTGACCTGTCCACAGAAACTTTATAGGTTATCTCGTGGCACATTGGAGGACAAAAGCAGTTATCCTTGTGCGATACGTTGGCATAATATTGAAGGTAGACAGATGTGCCACATATTTGTTCTTGATAATAATCACAAATTGAGACGTTACCACCTCCTTTCAATATCATCCAAAAATATTGTTAGAAGAAATTATTTGCTAATACAAATGGTACTACCTTCTATAAAAATGGGTCTGCAGCCACATGAACTGACAACTTCTCGAGCCAGACATTCCAGCTCGCATTTGATCGGATTGTAACCTGAACTGTTGTCACAAATGCCGTGAGGAGATTTCATTCGGTTAATCTTGGACAAATTATTTATTTTCTAAAAACATCAATTTGTGACAAAAGATAATTTCAGATAACAATTTTTATAAAAATTAAATAATTTTCCTTTACTGAACTCACTTTGATGACGTCTACAGCGATTTCTACTTGTTCACCATAACTTATTTGAAATCCAGAACGCAAAGAGAGCACTGACATATCAGGCTCGTGTACCAAAATCTGTTATATAAAGCCAATGAAATACTTTTTTAAACATAAATTGAAAATTTGATGTTTATTTTTTTATCAAAATTTAAAAAATTAATATGTTAAATAACTTTGTATCCCGAGAAGAGACTGTACCGCATAAATTTGTCGTCACTCTCGTTACCTGACAAAATAAATTGTAGCCCCACGGCAGCTGTGTATTTTTTGAGTGGCAATTTTGATTTTCCTGTTGAATTGTTCATTGAAGTGCATCGAAGAACTCGTTCAAAGAATAATGAGACCATGAGGCGAACAATTTATAAGTTGGTTATAAAAAATTTCCGGTTGGCATCATGACTATTGCATGCATTCTTTTTTTAAAACAAATTTATACAAAAAATGTTATTACGGATACAAAGTATTAGCGTTAAAATATGTTTTATATAAAAATAATTTTTTTTCTCAAAACTGTTTATTTGTTGTGTCCATATACTTATATTACATACACTGGCCCTCGAACGCACCCTGGCATATTTTTAGAGTCTGGTCTCTCTTCAGTTTCCATGAACAACTATTCAAACTCATCAAATTTTACATTTTTACATTGTATTAGTTCATTAATAAATATTTATTTATTTTTCAAAAATTTAATTTTTTTTAAATTTTTTCCAATTGATTTATTTCATGCGTTTGCATATTATTTATACTTATTTAGTTTTATGCGAACTGATTTGAGCTCGTCCTGCTTGGCATGCATCTTTTTGGTTGTTCTAGTGAAACAAAAAAAAAACAAAAAAAAAGTGTTCTATGATTCTTATTTCCAATTATAATTCTTTCTAATGTTTTAAAAACTTTTTCTACACAACTTGAAAAATAAATATTATTAATTGATCACACCCATGTCAGGTAGAAAATTTGCCAAAGTCCAATCGGCGACTGACAACAAGTTTCACTGTGCAGAGAACTACGAAAGCAAGCAGTTCAAGTCATTCAACAGTTACATTCGCCTACTTAGAATAACTTTGTATAGTTTTAGAATACATCTGCATACAATTTAGAAACGCTTTTGTGTTTTTTTTACAGACAAAACTGTACAAATGTTTTTTTGATTCCTTATTGGCTCCATTGACGAGATTGAACATTGCAGTAAGAAGTTTTGGTTAAAGGTCCTGTTTGTACATTCTCCCAAAGTCCTGAAGAAACATCAGCGCATATCTGCGGACCAAAACTTGGAGTGATCTTCTACATTGTTTGCGCCAGTCTAACTTATCTCTACTACAATTCAAAAAACAATTAAAGATACACCTTTTTCGTTGTGATTATTAACATTTTCATTGAACGTTTTTCTTGTTCCAATTGTTAACATTAACATTGATTTTGTTAAAGCGCCTGTAAGAAGACCTTTAACGGGCGCTTATAACTAAACTTGTAATAATGATGATAATAAGCGCTATATAAGCAATCACAGTCAACAAACGTTCTAAATTGAACAAACTAACAAACGCAACGGACAACCTCACGGAATGCCACAAGATGCGGGCAACTTGAAATTATTGAAATTAACTGTAATAAAGGTTGTTGTATAATACTGTCATTTTATATAAGCGCTGTATAAGATGCTTCAAAATCAAAAAATATGTGTAAATCACGTGAATCAATATATCAAACACCTTTGCATGTGGTAGGCGGAAACCTCTTCACATTCGAACCCGGACACTGCATCAACTATGCCACACACCTTAACTATTACACCATCGCGCCGCGTTGCATCGAATAAATTACTTATTAAACCACACGTAAGCTTATCCATACTTGTATTGATGGTGATGCAATGTCCAGCGTCTGTGAAAACTGTACCTTTAATTTCATCCGAACAGTTCTCACCGTTCCAATAACACTGTTCATATGTTTGTGAATTTTTAATAAAGTTGTACAATCGCTTTTTGTGTGAAGGTCATTCGAAAAAACATCATGACGTTGTAAGCAACTAACAGAGACCAGCTGTTCCAGCCCAGGAGACAAGTGCTTCATTGTGGATATCAACCCCTCTTGGTTACTGGAGTTTGGTAGTATAAAATTTTTCAGGGTTTCGTTTTTTGCATCTAATTCGTATGGAGCCATAAACTGCTTGAAATAATCCGTCAAGCCTGAAAACAAATTTTATGTCATAAAAACAAAAATGAGATTTTTAAAAACATTGATCGATATAAGCACCTAGTTCTTCGGCGGACGAGAGTTTGATGTAATTATTGTTGCAGATTGTTACTTGAGGAAATTGAATATCTTGTGAAGATACGAAGTTGAGGTCTGTATATGTGGGGTAAAGGGAATATTTCATGAAGCAACTGTGAATTTGCCACGAAGCCAAAATGACTGAAGAAACGATTAGAAGGAGCCACAGAATTCGGTTAAGAATGGATCGATTGGTGTCTGTTACCTGTTTGATTCTTCGTAAGTAACAAAATTTCAAGGCTGTTAGATTTTAATGTGGAAAATAAAAATTTTGATTTGGGTAACGATTTTTATTTCTACATTGAAAAACTCAACGTCTCATTCAAATATGCATTCTTAACTTTTCTACCCAGTCAACCCTTCAACATAATGGGACTCTCAAATGTTTATATCAGTAATCGGCGGTTCGTTTTTTATTTTGTATACTGCAATCCATTTCATTAAAGAAGCTGTAATAAGATAGAACAAAATTGTTGTAAAGCCACTCTTAACCAACGGATTGTTCAAATTATCAAAATGTCAATTAATTAACATAATTAAAACGAATCTCTTACCAATATTTAATCTTATTAACAGTTTATTGTCATCATTTTTTGAATAATCACTCATTAATTAATTGATAAATGGATTTAATTATTTTTTTAAATTAAAATCGCCTTATCCAATTAAACCATTCAAAGTCTATGGTGTAATGGTTAAGACGTTTTTCGAAATTATGCGCCTCATGCGTATGATGCGGTGGTAGCGCATGCGCTTGTGCATATCGTTTGCAGCCTCTGGAACCTCGCAGAAATAGCGCTGGATAAATAAAGACTAAAATAAAGTTCTCGGTAGCAGATATTAATGTTTCATATACATTAGATTGATTGGCTGTCTAAAAGTTAATAACACTTTTACCACTTTTGGAAAAAGCCCCGTACTTTATATTTGGGGGGCTAGCATTTCCAGAACTCCAGCCATCGGGGACTAGCACTAACGAAAATAATTACAGCATTAAAGAACACTAACGTAGCATTAACGATAGTGCAGAGTCTAAGTCTCTATTTGGCATTTAGGGGGCTACCATTTATCGAGCCGCCCATCCATACATCTTAAGGGGGACCAGTACTAACAAAACTTAGCACGGCACTAAAGAGCACTAATATAGCACTAACGATAATGTGAATTTTAACTTGTTATAGGACTCAACTCAATTGGGTTAAAAAACTGTCCCCGAGAAAGTGGGCTACGGATTTTTTAATACAATGTATTAACGTTTAATCATTAAGTACTGCGAATACCTACACTGTAATGCAATACTATGAAACCATTGTTGAGATCAGAGGAATGAATTTTTATATATTAATAATTAGTTTTTTCGCTAAAACTGTAATGAGTAATTTATTAAAAAATATTACTGTGTAGAGTTTTTTTAAAAAGTTTCAAAAAATTTGTATACAATGAAAGACAATTCGACACAAACCCAATAACTGTCAATTCATCAAGAGAGCTCAACAGCTTCGCTTTGAAGAAAGCTTCGTCGTCGACACCGCTCGAATCGTAACGTCTTCGCATCCGATTCAGTCTGGAATCAGTTATTGACGAAAAAATGTCCAAAGTATTATTACTAATTTTATCATTGTTATTGTTTTGTTTGTGCTTAACTTCATCACTGTTGTTGTCGCCAACGCAATCACTAGTTGTGTTATTGTCCCTGTTCTCGTTGTGTGCAGCTGAAGGGGTTAGTTCACTTTTTTCTTGGTTAATATTGTTTACGTTAATTTTGATCACGTTCGCATTCAGAACATCATTGCTGATATTGTTGTTATTGTTAGCATTATTTGAAATTTTATCAACAACATCATCACTGTTGATGCTGCTATCAACAAGGGCAGAGACATCTAGATTATCAGTGATGCTTGGTTCACCAACGGAGGAATTGTAACAGACGGTTGGCCCGGCGACGCGATCATTTAATTTTCTATAAATTCCTTCCATCTGTCAAACGTCCCAATTCAGGATGTATTAGCGTTCAACGTTCATTTAACATTAGCTGTAAATGTTCATTTAACATTGGCTAGCCGGAAGAAGTTGGACAAATAGTTAAAAACATGGCAACATGACATACACTCGAACACTCTTGCTTAAATATTTTTCCAAACTAGCTTCGTATGTTTGCATCATCAATTATGCCCATTAGGTTTCGTCGAATCTGACATGCCACCAAACACGCGGTGGGATCAAACAACACGCTAATTAGCCTCGTGACCGACCGCTAATGGAATATCGATCAACATGCGTTTTGAGAAATATGACGAATTGTTTTGATTTTGTTTTGATAATCCATTTGAACGATGTTAACAAATAGGCGCACAGGTTATTTGTGTAATTCCATGTACCATTAAATGAAATTTATTATGAATTGCTTTTTAAAATCAAAATTGCAAATGGTTAATAAGAAGAGCAGCAACGACGAAGCAAACATGGAGAAAATTAAAAATGCCGGGGAAATAATTTTCTGCTTTTGATGTTGTTTGCGGTGGATTAGTTGTTGTGGTTGGAGCGATTGTTACAGTTGTTGGAGCGATTGTTCCAGTTATTGGAGCGATTGTTCCAGTTGTTGGAGCAATTGTTACAGTTGTTGGAGCAATTGTTGGGGCGATTGTTCCAGTTGTTGGAACGATTGTTCCAGTTGTTGGAGCGATTGTTACAGTTGTTGGGGCAATGGTTCCAGTTGTTGGAGCATTTGTTACAGTTGTTGGAGCGATTGTTACAGTTGTTGGAGCGATTGTTACAGTTGTTGGAGCGATGGTTGCAGTTGTTGGGGCGATTGTTCCAGTTGTTGGAACGATTGTTACAGTTGTTGGAGCGATTGTTCCAGTTGTTGGAGCGATTGTTACAGTTGTTGGAGCGATTGTTACAGTTGTTGGAGCGATTGTTACAGTTGTTGGAGCGATTGTTACAGTTGTTGGTGCGATTGTTCCAGTTGTTGGAGCGATTGTTACAGTTGTTGGAGCAATTGTTACAGTTGTTGGAGCAATTGTTGGGGCGATTGTTCCAGTTGTTGGAACGATTGTTCCAGTTGTTGGAGCGATTGTTACAGTTGTTGGAGCGATTGTTACAGTTGTTGGGGCAATGGTTCCTGTTGTTGGAGCATTTGTTACAGTTGTTGGAGCGATTGTTACAGTTGTTGGAGCGATGGTTGCAGTTGTTGGGGCGATTGTTCCAGTTGTTGGAACGATTGTTACAGTTGTTGGAGCGATTGTTCCAGTTGTTGGAGCGATTGTTACAGTTGTTGGAGCGATTGTTACAGTTGTTGGAGCGATTGTTACAGTTGTTGGAGCGATTGTTACAGTTGTGGAGCGATTGTTCCAGTTGTTAGAGCGATGTCCAGTGTGA